AGAGAGAGAGAGAGAGAGAGAGAGAGAGAGAGAGAGAGAGAGAGAGAGAGAGAGAGATTAACCGATGTCCCAATGATCCAATGAAAACAATCACCACCCAGATTCTGCCCTTTCAAGATGGGAGAGAATGGACGACCTTCTCAGAGAAACGGTTAGCTTCGCCAGAACTCTAATATGCTTTTCTGTCTTCTCCTTGTTTGCCCATCTTCCCCGTCTAAATTGCACACACAGGGATCTTCCTCATCCAAGGCCCAGGCACCACACTGCCCCCTGTGGACTTCCCTGCTATGTGCTGTTCACCACCCCTCCCTGCTTCCCTACAACTCTACCACCTTCTTCCCACAACACCTACCCACCCACCCACCACCCACACCCACCCCCCGCGCCCCCCCCGACACAGTCTGCTTTGTTAATGGTACATACTACGTAGCACAATTATTGTGAACAATCCGGCCCCTCTTTAAAAATATGCTAAGTACTCACAGACCTCACCATAAATTGATTCCAGAAAGGCGTGCACCTCGTTGAAGATCTTTCTTACAATTGCCGCAGACGCAAACTGTCGCGATTTCTTGCTGTCCAATTCGCGATTAGTGCTAGCCACTCTTTTCGTATGTCAATTAATCAGTACTCTTTACTCCTACCTCATCCAAACGAGGCTTCCAGATTGCCCATGACATCTCCTTGTCTTGATCCTCCTCCTCCTCCTCCTCCTCCTCCTCCTCCTCCCCATCATCATCATCAGTAGCAGCAGGAGCTCTCCGCCTGCTCATGTAGTTCTTAATGATCCATGTTCAGGATCAGGAACCACTCCTCCCCGATGCCAGGGTATGGACAAGAACATACTCAACTCACACTCAGATCCTGAACGTATCTGGACACAATAAAGGCCAGATTTTGTCCAAACAGGACAAGTCTGAATATTCCCCCTATGTTGTGCCCCTTCCCTTGCAACAGTGGCAATGCGACCATCACCACCATCAGCACCGCCACCATCGCCGCAACCGCTGCCACCGCCGCCGGCATCGCCACTGCCGCCGAGACCGCCACCACTGCCGCCTCCACCGTCGCCTCCACCGCCACCACTATCACCATCACGATCACTGCCAACATCATCACGGCTCCCATCACCGGCATCAAGTGCTCCTCATTTGCCTGCTTGCTCACATATTCCTCCATGATACCTGTTCTTGCGACCTCGTCCTTCCAGATGCCATCCAATTGCTTCAGATGCATGGCTCCTCCGCAGCCCTCCACCTCCTAATTTGAACTCCAACAACCGCTCTCCCACCATCTTTCCAAGTAGTCGCCATAGTTTGTTGCTTTCGTCACTGGAGTAGCCGTCGTTGCATCATCGCCATTTTGCTGCCTTCATGTTGCTGTCCTGCAGTGCAGGCCATGTGAACAGGCAACAGAGGTCTGGGTTGTCCTCCTTTTCACTTCCGGGCTTAATCATCCAGCCCGATGCACGGTGGTGATGCCACTCGCTTTTGGCTCCCTGGGCCCAATGGCCAAACCGGCCAGACGTCAATGGATATCCCCCTTCTTGCCATGCGGCACAGGCCAAAGAATCTCAATTGTGCCAATTTTGCCCGGAAAGAAACCGCCTCCCAATTTGATACTCACTTTTGGTTCCATGGGTCCACTGGCCAAACCGGCCAGATGTCAACAAATCTTCCCATTCTAGCCATGTGGCACAGGCCAAAGAATCTCAATTATGCTCATGGGCCAGAAAGACACCGCCTCCCAATTTGGCCATAGGGCAGAAATCACTCTAGCCCTTGCTGAGATGAACGAAATGAACGAATCCCCCCGTTCGGGGGTCTCGACTCGAAAGGGGCAGAAAATAAACTCACCCCTGCTCCAGTCTTTGCGGCCTATGAAAACAGAAAACAATTCTCAAGCTGGCCAGAGGGCAGATAAATCAATCACGCCTGAAACCTGAAATAAATCAATGGGTTCCCTTCCCATTCTGGCTCTGACTCTTCTGACTGAAAGCTAGCCAGAGGGCAGATGAATCAATCAATCCTGAAACCTGAAAGAAATCAATGGGTTCGATTTCCATTATGGCTCTGAGTCTTCTGACTGAAAGGGGTAGAAATCAAAGAATCCACTTTCGTACCGTATTGCTATTGCTACAAGCCTACGGGATTATCAAGAGTAAGCGGGGTAAGGCACAAAGATCTCTTGATGGGCTTGCAAAAGAATGGCCCACTCACTTGGCAGTTCTTCAGCAACAAGCACGCAAAGTGCTCTTGACGGACTTTAGAAAGGGGCGAAGTGCTCTTGATAGACGTACAAAAGAATGGTTTACTTTACTCGCTTAGCGACTCAGACTCTTCGGCAACAAGGGCGTGCTGTGCGGCGGCGAGGCGCATGAGGGGTCGGAGCTGTGGAACCTCCACCTGGGCAGAAAGGGGCAGAAGAATGGTTTACTTTACTCGCTTGGCGACTCGCCTCTTCGGCAACAAGGGCGTGCTGTGCGGCGGCGAGGCGCATGAGGGGTCGGAGCTGTGGAGCCTCCACCTGGGCAGAAAGGGGCAGAAATGAAAGAATCCACTTTCTTACCATGTGCAGAAAGGGGCAAAAATCAAAGAATGGGCAGAAAGGGGGGGCAGAAATGAAAGAGTCCACTTACTTACCATGTCCAGAAAGGGGCAAAAATCAAAGACTGGGCTTCTTGACATGGTGATTTCTGCAGTCAGACTGCGGAAAACCAAACAACACCCGGTCTTCCCCTCACTAGAAATTAACAAATGCCCTTCTTATAACGGGGCGACGACCTTGAGATAAGATCACTACACTGACCGGCCCAAAGTAACTCGGAGCGAATCGATTGCATCGGGATTTGAACTCTGAGACATATTCGACAGTTCATTGGTGTACCAGCTGAGCTGCGACAAATTCCTGTTCTAAACACGCGGCCGAAATCCAAGGGTCCTCATTCTGGCCATGAAATATACTGCTCTGCCATGAGATTGTGGACACATCTGCCTGATTTTTATGCCCCATTGTATGGATGATGGTGGCCAGAGTCAAAACGGAAGTCGCAGGTTCAAATCAGGCAGATGTGACTACGAACTGGAACGATTACGGCACTCACCTTACATAACGAAGGCATACGATATACTCCTCCTTACACACGCCTGCATCTTCTCCACTGCATGTAACTACCATGCCCATAGGTCCCTCACCCACGCCACCACCTACCTTTCGCTTGGGACGTCTGGCATGCTCTCGTTCAGGCTTTACACAGAAGGAATCCTTGTGCACATGTCCGTACGTCTGTTGCTCAGTCTCCCACGCCGGAAGTCACAGGTTCAAACCCCATACACCCGTACGTCTGTCTCTTAGTCTGCCACGCTGGAAGACACAGGCTCAAATCCCATTGTCCACCGTCACTGCACTTGTGCACACACCGACTTGTGTCCATGTGTCCGACGACTCTGAACATCTGTTGCACAGTCTGCCATGCCGGAAGTCACAGGTTCAAATCCCATTGTCCACTGCCATCCCGCTTCTGCACACATGGACTTGTGTCCATGTGTCCAGACCTCTGTTGCTCAGTCTGTCACACCGGAAGTCGCAGGTTCAAATGCCATTGTCCACCGTCATCGTGCTTCTGCACACATGGACTTGTCCCCCTGACTACACACCCAGTACAGTTCATCCCCCTCCTGAACCAAGCACCATCATCGGCACAAATACTGTCCTCTCACTCCCGCCAACCACATACCTTTCTTCTTGAGAATATCAATTTCAACCCATATCCCTCTGCCTACTACACACACCACACCCCAACACCATCACTCCTCCTAACCCTGTCACCAACCCATCTTATCTTGCTCACAAACATCGTTCCTGTCGACTGATTGTCCACACACGTTCTC